CTGTGTTCTTCTCCTCTAAGAAGGATTTATGTTGTGGCGCACATCAGCCACTTATGAATGAGCTGAGAGTCCATCCCCTAGTATATTTTGGGGGTTTGGAGGTTCTTGTAAATACTGTTGCATATTTACAGGCGTTCTAAGAAAGCTCACATGTACAAAAAAAATCTAGTGTGTAAGTATATTGAGATATTGGCGTCTGTGTGTCTACCAAGTCAACAGCTTGTTGAATGGATGTGGTGTGGATGTTTGGGAGGCCCAGAGACCTCCCTCCCCTTCTTCTCCTCTGCTTCCTCCTTTAAGGCAATAGCAGAAAACGTGCTAAATAAGCACTTTAACAATGGCAAAAGGAAAATCGAAAAACAAAAAAACCTAGAAAATGGGAAATACCAGCTAACAAGCAACAAGATGGATGGATGGATGGAATGGATAAAGAAATGTGTTAGCTAACCAAACAAAACAATACCCTAGGAGGCCTTTTGTCCAGATCCTAACTTTCCCAAAAAACCTATTCAAGACAAAAATGTTTATGGCGAACTCTACGAAATACCATTTTCTACTTCAAGTAATTGCTCTTCGGAGCAATCATTTATTGTTGTTTACTCTACCCATAACAGCAATACCTATACATTTTTGTTACACATACACACACTCACATAGATAGCCATAAAACTCCCTACGAATGTCCAATAATATTATGGTTATGGATTCCTGCCTGCCTTGGCTGTTCCGTTCGATTCGGTTCAATATATTTGACTCGTTAAAATCAAACAAATTGTGTGTGTGTATTACAATGAATTTTTATAGTCTACCTTTAGGCTTTTTTACATGATATAGCATAAATTATTGCATACTTTTAGGGGTTGCTAGCATTTAATGGAGGATATACGTAGCAAAACGAAAAAGTGGGGGAGAAATGCTATTTGGTTACATGTTTTCCAACCATCTACCACCAACTCCTTTTCCCCTCCCCCTCCCCCGCCCTCACTCTCACCCCCTCCTCTATTTCTCATTCATTTTCATTAATGGGCGTTTTATTACCATTAAACGTGTAACACAGACATTTGGAGAAGTGGTTCACATTTTTATTTACTATGAAATTTATATTGATTTTTTCGGTTCGATATTCAGTAGATGGAAATGGTCAAGTTATTTGGAGGGGTAATAAAAAGTAATGTGGTAAGCTTTACAAGGTCAATTAAATGCGTTGTAGGAAAAAAAGACAAGTAAAAATATTTTTGAACAATATTCGACCACAGAAAAAATCCGACCTCAGTTCCTGAGGTTTATTTTTTCCTTTAGGAAAAAAATCCGACCTCAGTTCCTGAGGTATTTTTTTCTATAGAAAAAAAAAACCCGACCTCAGTTCCTGAGGTATTTTTTCGATAGAAAAAAATACGAACTCTGTTCCTGAAGTATTTTGTTCTATAGAAAAAAATCCGACCTCAGTTCCAGAGGTATTTTTTTTCTATAGAAAAAAATCCGACCTCAGTTCCTGAGGTATTTTTTTTCTATAGAAAAAAATCCGACCTCAGTTCCTGAGGTATTTTTTTTAGAAACAATCCGACATCAGTTATAGAAAAAAAAAATCCGAAAAAAACCTCTATAGAAAAAAAAAGATCCTGAGGTATTTTTTTATAGAAAAAAATATAGAAAAAATCCGACATCAGTTCCTGAGGTTTATTTTTTTTCGATAGAAAAAAATCCGACCTCAGTTCCTGAGGTATTTTTTTTTCTATAGAAAAAAATCCGACCTCAGTTCCTGAGGTATTTTTTTCTATAGAAAAAAATCCGACCTCAGTTCCTGAGGTATTTTTTTTTTATAGAAAAAAATCCGACCTCAGTTCCTGAAGTATTTTTTTTATAGAAAAAAATCCGACCTCAGATCCTGAGGTATTTTGTTTTTATAGAAAAAAATCCGACCTCAGTTCCTGAAGTATTTTTTTCTATAGAAAAAAATCCGACCTCAGATCCTGAGGTATTTTTTTTCTATAGAAAAAAATCCGACCTCAGATCCTGAGGTATTTTTTTCTATAGAAAAAATCCGACATCAGTTCCTGAGGTTTATTTTTTTTTATAGAAAAAAATCCGACCTCAGTTCCTGAGTTATTTTTTCTATAGAAAAAAATCCGACCTCAGTTTCTGAGGTATTTTTTTCTATAGAAAAAAACCGTCTTCAGTTTTTGAAGTTTATTTCTTCCAAAGAAAAAATTACGCCCTCAATACCTGAGGATTTTTTATATAGAAATAAAATCCAACTTGAGTTCCTAAGGTATTTTTTATAGAGAAAAATCCGACCATGGCTCCTTAGGTATTTGTTTTTCAAAAAAAAATCCAAACCCGACCTGTTTTCCTCAGTTTTTATCCTCCCTCAATTGCCTGGCTTTCTCATCAAATTTCCATATGAAAAAAAGAAAACCGAGCAAACTAAGAATAACCCAATAAAAATAGAAAAATGATAGAATAACCAACGTAGCTGGACACGTCCCACAAAAAAACTTGATTATAATAAAAACAAAACAGGACGAGCGACCGAACATGAAAGAGAAGAACAAAAGGTGCGTGGGTTGGGGTGGTCGAGCAGTAATGGAAAAATAAAACAGAAAACAAACTTTGTTGCCATTGTTACTGACGGGCAGGCGGCTGAGCTACTCTACTACTCATCATCATCATCTTTGAATGAAAATCGATTTTCCCAACCCGCCTAAAACAAGAACGCATTTAGAATAAAAACAATAACAACAACACAAGCTAATGCACTTGGCCCTCTTTCGCAGACAACAAGCGCGAGCTAACGAGCAAAGACTTTTGGATTGACTGGGAGAGGAGAGTTAAGAGACTGACAGACAGGAGGGAGGCAGGCAGGCATTAAGGGAGATTGCCAGTGAAAGGCATTAACAAGCCAATGCCTGTCTGTCCATTCGTCCGTCCTTAGATTACTTTATACAACAACAACAACAGCAACGTAACGACGGCGATTGGGTCAAAACATTTTCTGTCGTCTATCAGCGGAAAAAATCGCTTAACCGATTTACTAAAATATACAAGCGTACATGGTGGAATGAATGACGAAAAAAATAGAACAGAAAATAATGGAGAGAGACTACAGCTGGTGGCAAGGAGAGGTAAAATTAGGGGAGGAAACACAACCAGCCAGTTTATATTTTGTTGTTGTTGTCGATTTTTTGCCTCGCGGCCAGTTAATGGATATTGGAAAAAATCACCACCACTTTTTTTATGTAAAAGGTTTGATGGATACCAACGTCGTCATCATCGTCATCAGCGACGACTGAAAGTCATGTTTGATGTTGATGGTGATTGGTGGTAGTACTGTCGCGCTACTGATGACCCATGGAATAGCTGTGACAAAATAACATTTGATTTTCGACTTAATGACCAGACGGAAGGTGGCTATGCTGTTCGAAAAATAGGGGATAAGTCGGGATGTGTTTTAAGAATATGGGTGGAAAAATTGTTTGAATGCGGCGGGGAATGTAATCAAATGGAAATATGGGGTGGTATTTATACAAACATCATAAAAAATGATTAATAATTCTGAGGACCTAAAAAATGATTAATAATTTTGAACCACATCGGAAAATTTGTATCATGAAAATACTTTTAGAGTAGGGTCAGCATGATGATATCGCTCATCATCGAACTCCCGAGAATATAAAAAAATGGATTGACTCCTAGATATGTCCTTGTTCAAAATACGAAAAATTCTCATGCCTTGAGGATAGATTTCTCGGCATATAAAAACCTTATCTTGTGAAGATTATTTTTTTCTATTGAAAAAGTCATCATGTCCTGAGGGACAATTTTTTTCTTTTATAGTAAAAAAATCCTACGTCCTGAGATTTCCATTTTGTATGACCCATTTTTCCCATAAAAATATCAGGTCCAGGTATTTTTAGTTCTTCAATAAAACAAATCCTAATGACCTCAGGTCCTGGAAATCATATTTTTCTTACAAAACCCCCTTCCAAATCTAGGTCTTTATGATGGTGTTTAAATAAAAATATCGGGGTGTTCAGGTACTGAGTACCAATTTATTTTATAAAAAAAAACAACTACAGCACCTCGGGATTGAGAGATTACCTAAAATAATTTACAGTTCCGTACAGTGAAGAAAAATTTCTTGGGTCGAGATTTTGAGAATTTTTTAATCACATTTTCATTCGAAAAAAAACTAAATATTGTAGAAAAAATTGATTGAACATTGATTTGATAATGATCGGAAATCTGATTTTTTAATCAAAAAAAAATTCTTCCGCCTTCCTGTTCGGATTTGCATAGAAAAATTTTTTAGGACCTGAGACCTTATCTGAATTACAAAAGTTAAGGTCTTTAAGGTTAACATATACAGTTCTCAGCTGAAAAAATTCTCAGGCAGAGAGGATCGATTGTTTCTTGAAAAAAATCGGCGTCAATTTTTTTTAGAAAAAATCTTTGATATCTTTGTTTTTTCTAAAAAATCTCAGCTCCAAAAATAACGAATAGATTTGTTCTTAAAGCAAAAATTCTGCATCGATTAAAAAAAAAAACTCTTCGATATCCGAAATTGATTTTTTTTGTTGTTTTAGTTCCGATATACTATAACTTTAGATCCGCTGATACTATAACTTTAAAAAAATTCGGCGTCAATTTTTTTAGAAAAAATCTTTGATATCTTTGTTTTTTTTTCTAAAAAATCTCAGCTCCAAAAATAACGAATAGGTTTGTGCTTAAAGCAAAAATCCTGCATCGATTTTTAAAAAAAACTCTTCGATATTCGAAATTATTTTCTATAAAAAAAAAAAAAAACATCAGAACCCAAATTCTGATATCCTATAAAAATTATTTTTTGAGAATTCACTTTTTATTCACTTTTTTCCTTAGTTTAAAATAATTGTTTTCCCTTCAATAAATTTTCCATGTATACCCTCCCCCATTATAAGATCATTTATACCTCCTCGTCAATTTAAAAAAAAAAATTAATGAAAAAAATCTCCAAAACTTACCCTGGCAATCATGTGTACATCACCATCTCCCGACTGCTGGACACCGGTGCGGATCTTTTTATTTTGCGGCCCATCACTGACCACAAGAACACCCCCGCCGCCACCGGCACTGCCATTGGTTGAACCGTTATAGGGCATTATAGCCTTGGGTATGTTCGGGTCACTGGGTTGGTGAATTATTTTGACGGCTGTGTTGAACAGTTTGTCGGAAATGAAAGACGGCTGCTGGGTAATTTTTTGGCGCTTTGGCTCGCTCGATTTACACACAAACGGACAAGGTTAGTGTCGGTTTGTATGTAATGGGTGGGTGGACGAAACGGCGGCGACGACGACGACGACAAAGGACGATGACGTTTTCAAAAAACAAAATGCACGACACGCGAGAAGCTTAGTAAAACGCGAATCGAGCCGGAAATGTGGTAACCGTGATTAATACCAATTTGATTTGAGCGGTGAGTAGATTTGTATTTGTTTTTCCTCTCTTTTTTTGTAGGGAAATGCCTCACAACAGAGTATGTGTTAATTCCTGTTTGTTGTTGTGTTGAATGTTGAATGCTTCTTGTTGTTGTTTTTGCTGGGTTTTCTTTGGAACTGTATCAGCTGTTTTGGGCGCTGCTCATTTGTGGTGTTGTTGGTTTGTTGTTGGTTTGTTGTTGATGATGTTATTGTTGTAGTTGTGGTTGTTGTTGTTGTTTCAAACAAATAGCCATAGAACCCAAAAATACGAGGCCGGAAAGAAAACAGAAAGAAAGGAAAAAAGAAATTAATTTTGGTTATAAAGTTAAAATAACGTAAGTCAATATTTGTAGAAAATATGTTTGATTTTATTTGTTTATGTTTCTTGGCAAATAAAGTTAATATTGTAATTAGTTGTTATTGTTGTTGTTTCCTGTGGTTTTATTGTATTGGTCCTTAGAGAAATACATTTTTCTGGATATAGAAAAAAATTCACAAACAATTGTTTATTTTACCCAAATTTCCCAGGGTCCATCAATCATTTGGCATGGATTTCCATAGGCCATCGACAAAACACCCCTTCCCTAAGAAAGCACCACCTTTGAAATATTATTTTAATTACAACCACATACATAATACATATATACACACACAAACATATATTCGAGACATGGAAAGTGCAATAACATTTTGTTGTTTTTGTTGTTGTTGCTATTATAAACAAATTATAATTACTGTCATCGTCATCAGCTGATGATCTTTGTTTATTTGTTTGGCCTTTTACCACGCCAATCAAACCTCCCCCTTCCTCTCCGATTTCCAACCCCCTGCAAACCTTTCTCCTCCACCTCGTTCACCTTTTTTTAAACAAAACTTTCCAAGCTACTATTTAGCTGACGTAGATAAATAATTGTTGTTGTTTTTTTTTAATTATTTTTCCATTTCGTTCTTTTCTGTTGTCATTTTCTCGCATCGTAAACAAATAGTAGAATTTTCTTTTTTTGTGGGGAAGGAGGGTGATTATATTGAAAATCCATTTAGGCCCGGCAAACCCAAACACTAATCAACTGAAATCGAAAATTTGTTCATTTTTCATTTCATTTCGTTTCGTTTTTTTTTTCTTTTTTGTTTATTTTCTACTTTGTTTTTCTCCTCTTATTCTTGGCCTAAATATGCCACCCTGCTGGGCCTCCACCCGGCCAGCCACAAACAACATTTTGGGAACACGCGACCCGACGATAGTTTTATGCCATCGATGAAGAGATTGTATAATTTTTAGTTTTCTCTTCTTCCTAATTTTCCATTTGTTATGTTATGTTGTGTAGAAGCATGGAAAATGAAATGTGAAGAACTAGGATTGCCATTATCACAGACACAATCTTAGGCAAAGGGGAAGTAATTGTTGTTATAGTGAAAATGTTACAGTAAGTGACAAAAATTGGTATAGAATTTTTCAAAAAAAAAAAAAAAAATAGAACTTTTAATAAAAACAAATGATGGAACATACGGAAACTTTTCTAAGATAAAATCTAAAAACACTCGAGCTTAAAACTCGACTCGAAAGAGTATAAATAGCTCACTTAAAATTTCATTCAAATTATCGCTGCCCTTACAGGCAAATTTCAAGTAATAAAATCTAAAATGTTTCACAGAAGCTGGTCAAAAAATATTTCAAGAGCCCGTATATTCTGCATGTTCTGAAAAGTCTATTTTCTCAATAGAAAATAATTATGAAAAGTTGAATATATGCATGACCAAAAATATTGATTTTTCTAAAAGAAAAAACATTTTGGGCCCCATTTCATTACTTTATATTGGATTTTTTGGATGTTGAAAATATCATAGATGACAGGATGTGGTGGAAAACGCGCTTCATGACCTATAACCTTGTTCTTATTACAATAAAGGTAAAAATTTATCTTCTACAACAAAAAATCTTCAGAAAATATCGAAAAGTTCTATTAAAAATTAAAAACCTTAAAGATATAGTGGCAGGGATTTGATTTTTTATGTAATATAAAACATTTTTTGGAAATAGGCTCATTTTAAAAAATGCACTCTGATAGTGCAGATCAATTTATTTGCGTAAAAACAAAAATGGGGACATATTTTTTTGACAATTGAAAAGGCCTTATGGCGTGGGGCTAGATTTTTCGATATTATGCTGTGCCAAATTTCGTGCAAATCGAAGGATATATAGGGACTGAAATATATATGGGAGGTGTTTAACACACATTGTTCTAGATTTAATTCAGTACTCTGTGCCAAATTTCGTGCAAATCGAATGATATATAGGGACATTGGTGTACCATTTACATAAAATCGGAAGTAAATATATATGGGAGCTATATCTAACACAATCTAAGCTTAATTCAGTACGCTGTGCCAAATTTCGTGCATATCGAAAAATTTAACACACATCGAAAATGTCTAGGCTTAATTCAGTACGCTGTGCCTAACTTCGTGCAAATCGAAAGTTATTTAGGGACATTGGTGCACAATTTTCCTTAAATCGGACGAAAATATATATGGGAGCTATATCGAAATCTGAACAGATTTTTCCCAATTTCCATAGGGTTCGTCCTTGGGCCAAATAAGTGACCTATGCCAACTTTCATCCAATTCGTATCATACAATTTAACATCTACAGATAGACAGACGGACATGCATAAATCGACTTAGAAAGTGATTTTATGCATATTCTCAAAAGGAATCATGTGTCTATCTCGTTTCCTTTTGCCTGTTACAAACATATGCACAAAGACATAATACCCTGTACCACAGTCTGGTGAAGGATATAAAAATACATTTTTTTAGTTATGGAGGATAAAAAAAATTGGAATAAAATTTTTTCAGAACATGGAAATTAATTTTTCACAAAAGGTAAAATTCGCTGGATCATCTGTAATTTAAGAAACTATTCGCAGATTCTAAAGACCAATTTTTTCTTGTAGAAAATTCTTCTGTAAAATTGAGGGACTATAGAAAGCAATAAGAGGACGTCAGGCATGACATCTTATGTTGGCTTCTTTTATTGTAATATAATAAAGTAGAACGGCTTTCAAAATCGAGGATTTGATTTTTCAGTTCTCAGGACCTAAGTTCAATTTTTTATTGTAAACAAATTGTCATGTCACAAGGATAGATTCGATAAGGCCATGTCAGACTCAAAGAACCACCTATAGAATAAATTATTTTTATACAGATTTATTTTTATTTTAAGAGAAAAAATTGTGAATCAGGAGAAATCCCCAAAGAAAAACAGGTCCTTACAGTGTATATATTTTTATTAGAAAACTTCTCCGATTCTGAGAAGAGTGTTTTCTTTTACAAACATGTATCGTAAAATAAATCAATGGAATAAACAGAGGACCTGAAAATGTTTGAGAATTAAGGAAAATCGTCAGAGGTGGCTAAAAATCTCCAAAAATCATCAGATTGGATATGTTCAACAAAAGTGCTGCATAAAAATTGGGAAATATTGACCACATTTGCCCATTCATGCTCAAGTGAGACATTTCTTTAAATTCAAGAAATATTTCTGCCCCTAAAATTAGGCCAAAGTTTATGTTATGGATCAAAAAATATGGGCCTTGGAACCTTACATCTGCAAAATAAAGTAAAAATACCTGATCGTTTTTATTAACCCAGAGTGAAGCCTTTTTCTGATACAATTTTGACAATTTTGCAATGAAGAAGTCTCGGCAATGTTATCAAAATCTTTGAAATACTTCTGCCAAAAATCTACTTCCTTGATATTCAAAATTAATTTTTTTTGTAGTTTTTCCTCCAAATTGTACCCTCTAATTTGTGGTTATGTTGAGATCCTCATTTTTTCATGCTGAAAATTATTCTTTTTAGTGTATTGCCAGCCATTTGATTATTTCGAATTTCACATGTATTACATATAAAACCATGAAATTTTTTTAACAGCTACTTTACTCGTAACCTTGACTGCCTCAGCTTAGCTTCGATGAAAAATTTATAACTATCTTTAAAAAATTATCCTTGCTTATTAATTCAATATTATCGAAAATATGCATTCGTTCAACACTTCAAACACCACATGGCCTTTTCGCAGTCAATAACAAAAATTAAGGACAAAAAAATTAAAATCTTTGGCATCCCTGTGATTGTAGCAAATGGAGGAAGGAAACTTGTTCGCATGAAAATGAGAAAAGCATGCTGCCACAACCACTGCTGCTGTACTCAATGGCTGGCAAAGTCAATGGCAAGTAGAAGCAGCAGAAAACACCCCCAAAAAAGATGGTTGGGCTTAACTCTAGTTTAGTAAAAACGATCAGATTTTTCTGAAAATTTTTCCAGAGGTAGGTATTTTTACCCTAATTATGGGGATATCTTTTTTCCTTGGGGGACGTACCCGGTTACCCGGTTATTTGACCCGGAAGTTCGGGTACGGGTACCCGGTTATATCCGGTTCTACGGATCCGGTTAATATAATATGGGTATCATTTTAAAGGTTATAAAAATACCTTTCCATTGAGTGGTAATATGATGAGGTTATCTCAAACCATTTTGGAGATATAGTCAAAAAACTGGGTTTTGGTCCCCGATTTTTTTGAAAAACTCCCTAAAAGTCGAACTTGGGCCCATTATAGTACCTCTCTAACCCAAACTCAAATGATAGACCACAATTTGCCCTTTCCAAAATGGTGCGATATGTGGCTGTATCTATTGTGGATCAAAAGATATGGGCCTTAGAACCCTACAAAAACAAGAAAATTCTGTCGCGTAGCCGGTGTTGGTATCTGTCCA